AAGAATTTTGAGAGATCATGCTAATTAAACAAGAGGCATACCGTTCATCTTTGAAATAGAAATTCGATCACTTTTTGGTGGGAACAGCTTTAAATTACCCTCGGGATGACCCTATTTTTTAAAATTTTATGAGGAGGCCCTGTAGCTCTCCTTTGAAACTGAGGGAAACCCATAGATCTTCCCTGGTGGTTGTCTGTAAATGTCCCTTCAGAACTTCCTTGATGAGGTACCTTTCTACCTCCCCTCTAACAGTTCCTACTTTTGCTCATACGAGTATGCATGAACTGGATTCTCTCTTAAGCTCTCTCGTAAGCTCATGAATTCAAAAGATGTTTTTGATCAACGGACCAACTTATTCTCCTCCATTAAAATGTGTTATTTTTTGCTAAATATTATAAAATAGGGAATACGACTCCTGACCGCTTCGCGGTATAATCTCCCAAAGCGATTCACACACTGGAAAAAAAACCGCATTGGATCTAGAGCCCAGACTCTTAAAAACATCGACAAGAAAAAGTACTCTTGATTCAATCAGAATCCAGCTTAAATCAAGAACCAAGCCTCTTAACTTGAGCGGATCTCCTTTTGATTTAAGCTTAAATCTGATTGAATCAAGAGTCCTTTCTCTTGTCAATGTTTTCAAGAGTCTGGACTCTATATCCAATGTGTTTTTTTATTTCCAGTGCACGCGTTTCTCTTATGATTTAATATTGAAAAATATAATAAGTTCTCTAGAAATTGATCCAGCGCTCAAAGATGCAATGAAAATATGGGCCAATATCCCCGCGCACGGAGGATGCTCCGTTGAATGACACGGTGCATCCGCTGATCTAACCGTGGCGTCTCGTCGGTGGCGTCGCGACGCCCGGCCCGGTGACCCGCCCAGGTCGTGGAAACCGTGGACCTTGCCTCGATTTTCACCCGACTTCCGGCGCAGCATCAGCCTTCGCGGAAACCGGGAAATTCGGAGTAACTTGATCTAATATTTTCCGAGCCACTGAAACTCGATCGCGGTATATAACGCCGCCCCCGCTGCGCCTCCGTTAATTGATTTATTGTGCTTGACGGGATGAGTCCACGGATTCATTGATTGGATACTTGTGCTATACTCTGTTTTCTTCCAGCTCGATTCTGTATCAGTGTCTACAATCTCTTCCACGGTGCGTGCTCCTTCAAATTTGAATTGTGAATTTTTGGTGCCTTACTTTTCAAAAGTCACTATCAAAACCGGTTTCCCCCTTTTTTTCTTCTCCTTTTAAAGGAAACGTATACTTTCCTCCGGATCAAGTGATAGTAATCTAGACCTGATTGTTGCATGAAATGGATATTCTTAATTAACTGTGGATGGGACTCAATTTTTTGGAATTCAGAAACAACGATTTGCCGTCCAGCTACCACTCGAGTTGAGGTCCAATCGCAATAAATTAAAATGTACATTTCATCCAATATTCTGGTTGTTTTTCTTGTTTTGTTCAGCCAAAACTAGCCACAATGCTTACCTTTTCTCGTGGTTTTTTGTGACTGTACATATTTGAATATGGATCTTATTCCTCCAGTGAAAAATTGTAAGGAAAGTTGTTCGATCGAGCGAAATCGGTGCAATTTGTTTTTTTGATAAGAACACACACTTAGTCACGTGTCCTAGATTTAAGTTTATCTCTATCACCAAAGAGTGATCGGCCGCAGCATACTGAATGGCCCGGGTTAAACATTTCCCCACGCCCTCTGTATAGAGAGCTTTATGGTTGGGAGTAGGGGATAAAACCAATGGAAGGAAATCGGGAAAATCCTGAGAAATGTATTTCTCTGAAACGAATTTCAATATCACTGAAAACTCTTACTAAAAAGCTTGGTTTACCATCACTATCAAGTTCAGGGAAGCTGACTGCAGGTCACAGTGAGGTCCTCATAATTGGTAATAATGCAACTATTGCAATAGTTTTCGCCAAGACCACTATCCCCTGTCAGTATACTTAGCTCAAGTATTTTGGCCATTGTTATCGATTTATTCGGCTCAGCGTTTGGGATTCATTTTTACGCATATTTGGTGCTAGGGTAAAACTATCGAAAAATTGACCGGAAAAATTCTGATAGAATTTGATCTCGTGAGTGCCAAATAGTAATGTTGCTTATGGAGATCTCATTCCTACAGTGTGCATGAGAAAGTCTTCACAAAGCGACATCCAGTGCTGCTGAAGCTTTCACACGTTCGATACCGAACTTCATTTTTGCGTGTATTGGCTGGGGTAGTGAAACAATTCTAAGGACCTCCAAAAAATTATCTTAAACCAGTTTAATAATTAATATCTAATTGATTAATTAATTAAGTTTAATAATTCAAAAGCTCTGCTTTTCGATCACTCATTGTTTTGTGGTGTTCTTATTACGTGCATAATTCTGGTAAGATGGTTCGGCGTTCACTTAAAAGCAAGTTATACCTATATGAATGTTCAGGATTTTATTTTAGTATGCATACATAGCATATTAAGTAAAGAGGACGCAATATCCTGGTTTCAAAATCATAAATTTCATTTGTTACAGATGAAGTCTCTGGTGCGAGTATGTTGTTTTGCGTCGATATTGCTGGTCGTCTCTTCAAATGAACAAGGCTACAGTCATACCAAAGTTTGTAAGTTTCAATTTTGTTGTTTTCAACACTGATCTTCACAATTTCTTTGGACGTTCATCAAATGTCAACCTATTGAAACTTAGTCTAACATCCATTCTATCTTGCCAAGATGCAAGAAAGAATTCTGGTTTCTCTCTTGTTATTGCGATTATTAGAAGGTGTTGTTCAGCTTTGAATTTGCTGATTGCAAATCTGTACATTTTCCTCCTTTTAACAATCACACTAAAATTTTTACGTAGAATTCTTGAAAAATACCAAGCAATAAGTACAATTAAGGAGGTTGGAGGACAAGGCGCACAAGTGCAGTTTTTTGTTATTTCGCGAGATATGTGTATACATGATGTGTCAAAATCACACGGATCCCTATGGCGGAAAGAAAGTTCAAACTTACCTTTTGATGCTGAAAAATTGGAATTTTGGAGCGATTTTTTCCCAGAATGTGCATTAACACTAGTTTTACTTAAAATCATTACCATCTCAATTTTTTTTAAAAACTGCACTTATGCGCCTTGTCCTTCAAGCCCCTGAATTAATACTTTCAATTGCACTCAATGAAGTCTCTTTGTTCCTGTTGTGTCGTGCTTATCTGTCCATCAGCATAGATAAATTTATGTATTCTTATAGGCTACATAAATTCGGCTCAGAATGATAATTTTCATATTTTTTCAAAATTAATCCGCGTATCGATCTTTCCCTCCCACTCATCCTTCTCTTCCCTCCCACTAATCCTTCTCCCGACATTTTATGCGATTGTCAGTAAATCTCTCACAGATACCGAATTTGATCGCTTTTGTGGGCTACATGCAAATCACTAGTTTTTGGAGTCATACTTTATAAAGTTTCATAATTCGCCACTTTACCTGTTTTCCACCAGTTTTCAAATGTTTCACTTGCCTTATTTGCTTGATTAGACCATTTTTTCTTCGTTTCAGACAACAAAGAGGACGGTTACGCTCATGAGTCAAAAGAAGTACACGGGCCTCACGGCTACGCCTACACGTCCAGCTACAGCCACCCTCACCACTCGGCCAGCCTCCTTTCTCCGTTGGGCTACTCCTCTCACATCAGCCCATCGCTGGGTTACACCTCCTACATTAGCCCATCTCTGGGCTACTCCTCCTACATCAGCCCCTCGCTGAGCTACGGGGCCCCTTACATAAGCCCATCATTAGGCTACTACTCTGGTTCTCCGGCCACTAGTTACTCGAACTATAATAACTACGGATACGGCTCACCGTATTGGGGATCGTCTTACGGCTACTCTAAGGGTCATGCGACAAGTTACGTGAAAAACTACAGCTACGGAAAGCACGGAGGTTACGGATATTCGCTGGGTCTAGTGCACTCTGGACTACCCTACGCCGTAGGCTCTTACGGACTCGGCGTGTATGGCCTGGGTTACGGATATGACCCTGAATTAGACCCGGATCTAGATGAGGATTTGGATGATTTGGATTCGTACATTGAGCTTCCGTTGGAGTTTTTGAACTATAAGCTGGTCCCGGAGCTTAACTTTTTGCTCAGGAAGTAAGCGTGACGTAGTGAAAATTGTGAGCTTGAAAATCAAACATGTTTTGTTCACACGGAAAAAAGTAACAAGGTGGCTTTCAATATGTGCCTGACTGATTTTTGCAGTTACCAGGAACTTTTTTTGTATTAGCTCCCCTCTTCTGTTACAACTTATTAAGTTGGGATGTAACATATGAAAAATATAGTTAAATCAACTTTATGCCCTGGTTACCGACAGAATCAGCCAGCTGTAATTCATATTTTCTCATTTCTTTTCGAGGAAATATGAAAAAATCGGCAAGGAAGAAAAACCCGTGAGTGATATTGCATTAAAGAGTAATCCAACGATAAAATGATATTAAAACAACTTGCGTGCTGTAAATCCCGTGTTAATGTTCCTAGGTGTGCGCGAGTATTCCATTTTGCGTCGCAAGTCAGTATGTAGGATAATAAATTTTTCCTTTTTTAGATGTACAGGAAATTCCGACGATTTTACGATATCAAAATGGAACACTCACCAGCTATCGTGTCATAAACCTGTAACAGTTTTCTAGTGCTGTGCATACGCTTTCGCTTGTAAATAAGCGCGCACTACGATTAAAATGTTTTGTCTAGTGCATACATCATAGGGTTTTAGTGATTACAGCATCTGAAGTTCATTACACACCCGATGCTACCTCAAAAAGCATCTTTTTCGTCTTTTCCCCCTTTTATGTCCTCATTTAAATATTATTATTTCACTAATTAAATTTTTACTGGCTGACATTCTCGTCTCTCCTCTAATTTTAACCGGGGTAAATTGCAGTGCCCAAAGAGTTCATTTTATTCAAAAACTTGGCTGATTGGAGGAGAGATCAAAAGTTCTGTCTGATAATAATTACGTAGGAGCAAGCGATATGTGGACACTCTTTTTCAATTAAATTATACAGTAAATCGCAAAAAACAATCAGCATAAGGCTTATTATATAGATTTTATGATCTGATATTTAACCTTTCATTTAGCTTATCAATTTTTTTTCGTGGGAAACTACGCTTAGAGCAATAAGAGGAATTGAAAAGAAGTCATATCATCACAGCATGCACTGTGATGATAGTACTGTGTAATAGTTTCTCTATCCTCTCAGCAATTTTTTTGTTTTATTCTCATTTTCTTGTAGATAATTCTTATCATATTCTTAAATGAGGATTTATGTAAGGCACTGTGGAAAGTGCTTCCTTCGAAGTTTTCATTTAAATGGATTGCTAGAATAAAATTCACCTGGTTAAGCAAAACAACTGCTTTTCTGTAATAAATACTTTTAATACAAAAACCATGTCTTTCTTTCATTTTTCATACAAAAAAAGAAAAATATACACGTGTCTCAACATACATTCACAAGATCAACTCGTCAGTTTTGAACGTTAAGACCGAGAACTATGACGTAATAAATAGTTTCGTAAAAAAAATAATTGAAGAAGAATCAATCAGCGATTGTAATTATGTACACTTCGAATACAAAAATTTAAATGTAGAAAAGGATAGTGAGTATTATGTCACTTTGAAAACCGTCTAAAGTTGGAGTGAAGTCAACTAAAATGTTTTAAAGTTCTATCGTTATTTTAAAAATTTCTATCTCTCTTTAAAATTTTTTATGAATATGAAACATTAAAACGATAAGAATATATTTCACGGTGGTCTTTTGGCCAAATAAATAGTTTGAAAAGTTCTTAGGAAATCTATAGTCGCTGAGTAAAACTGCTGAGTATGAATTGAGTAACTTCACTCCCCCTCTGGATTGTTTCTTTCTTTTTTCTATAAGTCTACCCATTAATTTGAAATCACAGTCAAATATTATTTTCATCGCTTTAAAATGCACTCCTTTCTGACGAGTAGCGCATCTACTATTAAAACCACCATCATTGAGATTTTCATGAGCTTTTAAGTATGCGAAGGTGGTTTGCACTTGAGCGGAAGGTGTGCCTTCTTGAAGTTATATATAAAAATTTGGTTTTTACACATTATTTTTGAAATAATGATCAGAGAAAATTAACGCAAAGCTGGACGGTGTAGGTATCGGACGTAGCCATATTGATGCATCTGATCGACTCATTGACAACCCACACAGTTCATTGTTCAATCATGTATTTATTTTCAATAATTAGAGTTTGATCTGTAGTTTTGATTGTGCCCCATGAAGTTGCTGCCGCCACCGTAACTTCTACCTCCTCTTCCGCCACCGTATCCTGAGTCACCACCACCGTATTGACCTCCACCTGGGAAAGAAAAAGAACAGAAATAATAAGATGAAAATTACGTTGGTCCTTAGAATCATGAGTTTTTGGGAAAAAGCTCTATTGCCAGTCAAAAGCCCTAAGCAGGTTTCGAAATGCAATATTTTTTGTCACTTTCTCTGGCGGTAAGGACCTTTGAAGAGTCAACACATTAAAAAGTTCCATATTCGGCGCAAGCCTCAAGCGTCACGTCGAGGACAATATTCTTCCAGTTAGAAGAATCGTTTTTTTATTGTTATTCTTTGAAGTTTTCAATATTTCAGTATAAATGACCTTACGCAAGCAAAGGTTATTTTGTTTCTTTTAAAATAAAAATGCAAATTGATTCAGGACGTCTCTGCTATATTCTGCCCTGCCCGAACAACGAAACCGCTTTACTCTGATTAGAGCCTCACGTAGAAACGTGGTTTTTGTTCAGCACGACAGTATTGCAACAACCCTCTAATGAACCAGTTGCGCTAGTTACAGGTTTTAGCTTATAGATTGACAAAAGGAAGTAGGATCTGTTCAAACGCTACGTTTCTATATCCAATGGTAACTAGGATATTCAAGGGTCGTAAGAGACTCAAACGCAAGGGTAGAAAAGTTAACCACATCAGACACTCGCAAGAATGCCAGCTGATAAGGATCTATGCGGTTTGAAAAGACTCGTAAACGCAAGAGTAGAAAAGTTAAAGCTTTGGCGCAACGCACTCTGGGTCTGGGCTCAACTGATGTACAGGGTGATGCAAGGTTAAACCTTTGGACTACAGGGGCGTGCTCTGTGGGTCAAAGTAAGATTTTAAGATGAAATTTCTGCCAAAATTGCTTTTTACGGGGGTTGCAGTACTAATAACCCCCTCCCCCCAATTTCTGGGAAATAAATAGTGTTCCCTAAAACCTCACATTTTGACCGATGTTTCAATTTTTCTAATGTCACCGTTGGATCCAGCGTATTAAATCACCTGCGAATGCCGTAATTTCATGAGATTTAACAATGATTTACTATTGGTGGAAGCGGGTGGTTGCAAAGGACAAAGGAGGTAATTAATAGACTAACCTACGTCAACCCACGAGAGGCCCTATAGTTAGTCCATCATTTTCTCCCTTAGTCTATGACAATCATCCATTTGAACCAACATCATCTTTCCATACTCCCTATGTCTTCTGCACTGAAAAAAAATTCTCGGCGTTTTTACCAAGGTCCGTTGGTACCTTTACCATCTCACTTTTTTTACCAATTATTGGTAATTTTACCAAGACAGACTGGTAAGCTTACCTAAAAACCTGTATTTTTACTGTTTTTTCTAGGTATAAGAATACCACTTTTATTGGTAATCAATTCCCGGTAACTTTGCTATTTTATCTCGGTAATTCTACCACAGTCGAAAAAAAATATTGGCGTTTTTACCAAGGTCCAGTAAAATTACCGAGAAAGTTCAATAATTTTACCGAGATTTCTCGGTAAAATTACCAGTTCCATAAATGATAATTTTACCAAGAAAAAACTGGGATCAAATAGAACCCTGAATTCTTGGTAATTTTACCCTTTTCTTAGTAAATACACCGAGATTTTTTTTTTTCAGTGTGTGTCCAAAGCTTGGTCTATGAATTTCAATATCAGCCCCCAGGAATCTACTTGACCTGAAAATTGTCGACTTACTTCTGCCGGTTCTGTATCCTTTGAAGTGCGCCTGTCCACCGGGGATCCTCCAGTCGTAGCCGTAGCTGTTTCCGTCGTCGAAGGTGTTGGCGCCATAGCCGCCCTGCCCGAAAGAGCCGGAGTTGCCGCCGCCACCACCGGAAAAACCGCCCCTCCCGCCACGGTAGCCGCCCATCTGACTGCCCCCGTAGCCCCCCATGGAGCCCCACCCGCCGCCGCCACCTTGCTGACCTCCGTAGTTACCGCGCCCCTGATCCTGTCCGAAGCCGTAAGGGCTCGATAGGGCCAGGTAGGCGCATGAGAGCAGGGTTATGGATGCAAGGATCTGCAACACATATTAAGATCGTAACAATCATTGCTGTATTGCTCAGCAAAGCAGTGGTTCTGAAAATTATTACCCTCGGATCCCCAATAGAATAAGCCACTAGACATAGTCTGTACTACAAAAAAATCGCATTTAGCATAAAGGAATCAGCGTGATTACAATGTCTTAAACATGCTGCTTCCTAATAATTGCGAACCGAGTTTTTCATCAGAAAGGAACCAACCCACATTCTCGAAACGATTGAGTTAAGCATGTATTTGAGTTTCATTAGCCGTAAATTTTCTACTACCAAAAATCGCAAGTCTAAAAACAATTTTTTTCCATCCGCGAAAAGAGGGATTGAAGTTTATTTTCTACATTGAGCCTTATGCAGGAATAAAACTTCAAACCTCTTTTTCTCAGTTTCAATTTAATGTGGGTTGGTTCCTTTCTGATAAACTCGGTCTAATTATCTTAAAAAAATCCTCCGAAATAGCAAAAATTTCTGCTTCCCACAATAAATTTGTTTGTTTTAAAGGAAAACAATTAAGTAAATTTTAATACTGTACATATATTAAGAATTTTTTTAAAAAAGGAGAAGTTGCCCGATTTTGAAAATACTGTAATCGCGCTGGTTCCTTTTTGCTGAATTCGATCCAAATAAAAGCCACTTGTTTTCACTTCAGAATTTTACTTAAAAAACAATTCACGCAACGAGAAGTCTTGAAATCAACTTGAACGAGATATTAATAAACATTTTTAGCATAGATCAAATGGAAGTTCAAATATACAAATTAACTCATTCATATTTTTACCATGTGACCAATGTTAATTATAGACGCTCATATCGTGTTTGGGAGTTGATTTCCAGACTTTCTGTTGTGTGATTCGTTTCCGTACGCGATTTTGAAGTGGAAATATGTTGTAAAGTGCTTTAATAATGAATCCACTCTCTCTCATTCCCTTTAGTATTTCTTTCAACATAATTTAATGAAACAATTTTCTTCAACACGCAAGATGACTAAAGCAACAGTAGAGAAGGAATAAAAAATATAAATTAAACAGTTTTTGCACAGTTTTGAAAGGGAAGTTTGAAATAAAATAATCTTTCATCTTTTACAATATTTTTCCTATTTGCTTTAACGTTGTGCATTCCTTCTTTTGCATTATTCATTTTCTTTTCTAAATTTCTCAGCTTTGATGTTCTCCTCATTTTCTCCTAGTTCCCATTTGTATTGATGGAGTTGGTTTCCGCGGGCCGTTTAGGGATCGCCGTGCAAGGAAAATATTTAAGGTAGACCGAAGTACAAAAACATATTTTAGTGATGGGAGTTGATCGAGGTGATTTGATAGACGTCATATATTGTGGTAGAACGACATGCGATATATCGCATCGATTGGTTCCATTTTTTCAGCAACTCAGCATTTTTTTTGAATTTTGAGATCGCAATTTTGCTGTCAGGAGACTAAAGAATTCACGCACCAATTTTGACAAACAAATTTATAAAAGTCGTGGTTTCTATAGAGGAAAAATATCGCATTCGATACTGATATCAAAACTGCACTCGAATGAGAAATTCTTCCTCTTAAAAACCACGCCTTTGTTACGTTGAATTTGCTTATCAAAATTGGTAAGTGAATTCTTTGGTATCCTGATAAAAGAATTGCTATCTCAAAATTCGAGAAAAATGATGAGTAGCCGAAAAAATGGAACCGATCGATGCGATTTGTCACATGTCGTTCTGACGCAAAATATGGCGTCAATCGAATCACCTAAACGTTGTTAAAGATAGTATCGTAATAAATCGCAAGTTTTTCGTTCAGTATGATACAATTTGAGCAATTCATTTTGGTACTCTTACAATAAAAAAAAACAAAAAAACAAAAAAAACCTGAATTTTCATATTTTTTATTTTGCACTCACATTCAATTCGGCATAAAAGTAAAAACCTAAAGAAAGAACAAAAAACCTATGGATTTAAATTCCTCATTGCAACATCACATACATTGCTTAAAAAGGGCCCACAACTCCACTTGCCTTGCCTGCTTGCCAATTAAGCAAGAGATTTTTAATCAATCATTAATCAATAGAATTTTCAACATTTCCTTATGTGCGAAAGAAAAATTGTGCTGCGATCATGATGAAAATATTCTGGCAATTTCAGACGTTGTTGTGTAGGAAAATTGACATAAATCAACTTTACAAAGTACATATTTTTTAAATTTTTCTTTGGAAGCAGCATACCCCCCCCCTCAACGGTGAATAATGTGTTCAAACAAAATCTATAAGGTATTTTCGAGCGTACTTTTTTGCGTATGGTCTCGTTTCCCCTGTGGTCATAAGTTTTGGATTTTCCTTAATGCCATGAAGCGACCTTTTCTTTCGTCAGATGTCGGGAAAATAAAATCAATATCCTCTAGTATTATTTAATGTGAGTACAAAAAGACAAAAATTCCAATTGAAATATTGAAATGAGGAACCAAAATTAACCTCTTGTCAGGTGTGGGGTTCGAACCCACGCTCACATCGTGAACCAGAGCTTAAATCTGGCGCCTTAGACCGCTCGGCCAACCTGACCCGACGAGCAATGAAAATCTGGAAAATTTTAGTTCATTATGATGAATAGCAATGGACTACTAAGGTAAGAATCAAACTTCTTTGGGACATGTTTCCTTAATGACATTCCACGCAGAACATGTTGTAACCGTAAATTTCAAATATTAATGCTTCAGTGGATAATTCAGGTGCTCTTTACGATAAAGACTTCACCTTAAAATCAGTCATAATGAATATGTTGTAAAGCAAATTAAATTATTTTTGAGCTGAATAGAACGTTCTTAAAACCAATCACTTATACACCACAACGACAACCTTGGTAAGATGAGCAAGGAAAAATATTAATTCCAAAAATTATCAAATTCAACGATGATTTTGCAAGAATTAATATACATATTTTAATTTTGACCGATCTGCAGCCTAATTGTTGAAAATGTCGGCACGACAAGAATCGAAAATCGATATATTACACAGCGCAGATAGGGCTGTGTCTTGTCTTATCGTGCCGACAAAGCCAGTTAAAGTTTCAACAATCCGGCTGCAGTGATTACAAGAAAGCAGAGAAAACTATAAATAATCGTAGATAGAGGAGCGCTTACCATTGTAATTTCTCTGGCCATCGCGTTAATCCAAAGAGCTGTTGAAAAGTTCACTGATCACGTGGCTCGCGGGATCTTAACAAAAAATTAAGCTCGGCTGTCCTGACACGCGACTGAGGAGCTTCCTCCGCGGGTGGTATATATATCAAATCACGAGTTCATAATTGCAGTATCGTGATCCATTTTTCACCTGTGTTACCTTATGGATCATGCGGTGACACGGCCTTGTACCATGGTCAAGGTCCGGGCATCTTCAACTTTTCTGTTGCCGAATGTGGTTCGAATCAACATTTTTGGGGGCTCATCAGCTCGATGTAAAATTGGGACGAAGATGTAGAAGAGGTTTCGTGAAAGATAGTTAATAATAGCGATGGAAAATAAATTAAAATATTATTTATTAAATTTATCATTTATTTTATTTATTCTCATTAAAATATTATTAAATTTTACAGGTTTCTTGGAGTAAAAAGTACGTGTAGGTACTTAAGAAGAAAAAAATTAGGATAATTTACACCAAATAATTTAAGCCAGCAGACAGAAGACATGAGCATTTGCACTGCATAAAAGCAACTATTATTGTAAGGATCTCAGTGGTAGACTTGCCTCTTTGAAAGGATTCCAGTAAAATTGGTTCACTACCACTGAGCTCGGTCCGTAGAGCGATCAACGTGTTATAGATCAACCGTAGTTAAATACTGAACTGTACTTTCAATACACAATCTAAAGTAGTTTTGTTTGACTCTAATTATACAATTTAAATGATATGCGTTTACCAGAAAAATATAATCATTTTGTCATTTCTTTAGATCTAAAAATATTTTTGATAGTTTGTCCTGTTGCTGTTTTTAGTTCTCGAAATGTTCCGGTCTCAGGGGCTTCGGTAGGTTGTATTCCAGGACCAATGAATTTGCTCAATTTTACAGCAGATCCATTTGAGATTTTCATCAGTCAGTAGATAACATTCAGATGTTTCAAATGTATTTTCGAGTTTACTCTTTCTTTTCACTTCTCGACCTCTTTTCTGCTTCCTCCTCTGCTTCTTACCGCAGTTAGCAGGGGTTCGGGTCGACTCCCTCGGCAAAAAGACTTGGCGATTTCCCTCAAATAATTTTGAATTAAAAACTTACAATAATTATTTCATAGAAATTTTGTAATTATTTAAATAAAATCGTGATGTTGTGCTTGTCGCAAAAACGAAATGAAGTGGAATTTTGACCATAAAAGTATTTGACTGATGTCTAAAATTTGTCAATTTTCCCTTTGCTTTCCGATTTTCGAAGCAACCTCTGAAAAGGATTTTAGCTCTTTTAACGAAATTATCTCCCTCTGTTTGTATCTTTGTAAAAAATGAACATTTAACAAGTAATGACTAATCAGTCCTCTGAAGGCGCGACTTGGCAACTTCCTGCGGTTTTTCCTGGAGCTTTTATGTTCAGCGCTGGGATATTCCCGGATCCCAAAAGACAAAGCTACCGTCAGCGGGAGGGGGGGGGTTGCTTCAAAGAGGGAGCGAGGAACCACTATGACGTAGATTTGAAGTGTGCGCAACACGCATCATCTTTATTCATAGTTGCCAAATCTTAAGAAACATATGACATACCTTAACTTGGACAGAGAGCATTGAGAACAAAAAGTGCAAGGAAACTTTTGCTTTGTTTGAATTCGTACATTTAACTGATAAACTTCTTATGTTCATGCAAATAAAATCTTAGTTTTTTTAAGTTTCTAATTTTATAATTAATTCTAAAACATTGCTTCACAGACGGCAGAGTGACCCTCATGGAGCCGATAAACTCATTTCTATTGCTATGGATTTTCCCCATGTTTGTTCGATGGCCCTAGAGCCGAAAATGCCCTTTAAAACCTCCTTTGTATGGTCATTTTGCTGCCTTTAATTTTAAGTTAAGCTGTCCTTCAGGCTTTTGGTTGTTGGATAGGAGCTGGAAAATTCGAGAAACTAGAAACTCGGATTTGGTGCGTACTTTTGGGGCTCCGTTACAAAAAAAGCGGGACATCATTAAACTGTTGTGAGTGATGTGACGATACCAGAGATAATTTGTGTCGCGCCCCGTCGGTTATTTGTAGTTTTGGGCAGAACAATGAAAATCATATTGAAGTAAAAAATTGGTTTTCAAGCGAGAAAAGTCATTGACAGGACATGTTGTCACGGTTGCCGGTGACTTGGGTTGTCTAACTAGTGCGGTGTTTTTTTTAGCCAAATGGCGTCAGGAGTTGCGAAAATATTACCAGGTCTTCCTCAGAAGCTCTTTTGAATAATTTACCGGTAAATAGAGTTCACCTTCAGGCAAAAATGATTACATTTGGTGGGACATTGATAGTGATTTTGAGGTACGCGGTACTTGTTCCTCAGCCCCTTCAATCTTCAATCAATTTAATTGAAAGGGAATCATTAAATTAATATGCAATTGCACGGAAGCTCTATGTGTGTTTTGAGTCTCAAGAAATATAAATAATCATATTTTGCAGTATCTTTTACTCCCCAATGTAAAGAGTCGATTACTTTGTATCGGTTGTTCACGACTTACATTGTCGTCATTGTCATTTTTGATTAGACCGCCAAAGACCTCGAGCCCTGATTTATGTTTTCTTTGCTCTTGATTGCAACTTCTTACTGCCAAAGCTGGAAAGTGATTTCTTCATTACTTTCGAAATGAAATTGTCACATTTGATAAGTACTCCTCTACTCCATGCACTTCAAAAATTTGCACAGCCAATAAGCTATCTAAGCTATCGTCAAATCGCCACAACACTCTCAGGAATGTGACAGTAAAAACAAAGTCATCCCTCTCCTAAGTTTCTAAAAATATGGAGGCAGGCTTGTGATACAAATCACATATAGTTCTATTGGAACAGTTAACTAAGTATACTCTCACTGCAATTTATACTGATCATGTTAAAATTATTCTCTTTGAATCTGTAATTTTCATTTATGTTTTTAGTGTACATCTACACTCTTTGCCCATTCACTTATATTTACCGATTTCGGTTGATCCCGCGGACTTGAAAAGGATGCCAAGAATGCGAATTTTCAACAACGTTGGGCAAGTGCCTATACGTATCGTCGCGTCGCGTCACCTCTCTGACGTAAGATCGTAAGGTCATTTCTACGTGAGCCCTGTTTTCCATATAACTCCATGCTTCTCGGGGCTCGTGTGAAAGTCGTGATTCGCCCTATCGTCAGAGGAGCAACGATGTGTGCGTGCCCGGAAGTTGGTAGAAGATCACCACCAATTATTTCCTTCGTGCCACACCCGCACTCAAATTATGTGAGAAGATGGTCTGTTAATACGCTTAAAGATTTCAATGTGGATTATACACACGTGCGGACAATTCATACCATATTTCGGTTCCTGAAACATACTTACATATTGTATCAAAGCTAAAGTAACACATAGATGGTGAAGACGGGCTCCCTCTTTTTAAAAATATTAAAAAAAAGTGTCAATTAATTTCCTCTTTTTTCTTTTGGTTTCCACATTGACACATCACTCCGAGAAAAATTGGCATTATCATAAAAGTTCAATTTCAACTGAGAAATATAGGATTGGTACAATAGTATAAGTAGGTAGTCGCGATTTATGAAGTCAGTAATTTAAAAACTGAGGTCATATATAATGGAAATGAATAAAAAAAAAAAAGAAATGAAAAGGATGAACGAACATTTTATGTTTTATTTGACCGGTTCGATGCCAATGAAATATGCGGAAAGCGCGGGATGCCGTGAAATTTTGATGTCCAGACAGAGAAAAGACATCACTGCCCTTTTGAGTTTTTCTCAAATACTTTATAGTTTTTTACCTCTTTCAATTATAGTTGAGAGTCAATGGACATCAATACCTTGTCCCAAAGTCAGAGGAAATGGGTGTGGGAAGCACCCGGCGGGAGGGTTTTGAAGTTATCTCTCCGGGGCATGAAAGAGATGTAGATACCTACTGCTTATGATGGGAAATGAAACGGCAGGCATTAAAGTATCATGAGATCTGTAAGTATAGAATTTGCACCTTAGAGTTTTTGAAGTTCGGTACTTGATAACGTCATGATCCATTTGCGCTACTTATCACTTGATCACGTCATGTAACTTAGGGTGATTCGATGGACGCCATATTTTGTGTCAGAACGGCATGCGATATATCGCATCAATTGGTTCCATTTTTTCAGGTACTCGTCATTTTTCTTCAATTTTGAGATCGCAATTCTGTTGGCAGGAGACTTAAGCACTCACTTACTAATTTCAACAAATAAATTCAACGTAATAAAGGCGTGGTTTTTTAGAGAGAAAACATCGCATTCAATACTAATATCGAAACTGCACTCGAATGCGATATTTTCTCTCTAAAAAAACCACACCTTTAATACGTTGAATTTCTTGGTTAAAATTGGTAAGTAAGTACTTTAGTCTCCTGACAACAGAATTGCGATCTCAAAATTGGAGAAAAATGACGAGTAGCTGAAAAAATGGAACCAATTGATGCGATATATCGCATGCCGTTCTGACACAAAATATGGCGTCCATCGAATCACCTTAAAAGTCTCATTCAGATAGTATCGTCTAACATTCACAACCCTCTTTCCATCTTCAAATCGATTATCTCGTCATTGGACGAGACATTGGACCTCCATGATTCTGTCTTTGGGCGCCAAATTTTGTTTAAAACAATACATATTGTACCCGGATTTATACTTTAGAATTTTTTCTTGAATCGGCGCCGCTGTTCCGTAAGAGCGGGCTTAAAAATCGTGACCCGAATAGCGAGGAAAATTTCCTACCAACTCCTGTCCGCTGCGCGATATTACGCAGCAGTTCTATGGTTGGATTTTTTAAAAACCAAAAAAAAAACGCTTGGCAACGTCCATGATACGTCATAAGCTCTCCAGCGGTGACGAAGATAAAAACTAGCAAGAAATCGACGCAAACGTGACCCGGGGAAGAGACCGTACACAAACTTACATCTAGGTGCTTTTGAATTTTTCAAGGTCATTTTGTAGAGCATCGTGTAATAATTTCAGTTGATCGTGGGCACAAAAGACGATTACTTGTCCCTATTTTCTCCTTATCGTGTTTTTATGGGTCTGGCACTTGTGTAGAATATTACAACCATAACGTGTGATGTTGGATTGTTTTTA